CCCCCGTTTGTTGTCTTCCCTTTTCCCCCTTTTTTTTTTTTTTTTGTGGGGACCAGGATTTTTCACAGGGGACCTACCAAATTTATAGGTTCCACGAAGATCACAGAATCATGAATTTGGTAGGTCTTTGCCTATGAAAGTCAAGCCCCTAGGCATTGTTTGTTTCTGAAATTTGGAAAATAAGTTTTTTCTAAGGCCCACTTTGTGTATTTAGATCCTTGGAAAGAAAGTGATGTATAAGTATTAGTCCGACCAGGATTTTTCACAGGGGACCTACCAAATTTATAGGTTCCACGAAGATCACAGAATCATGAATTTGGTAGGTCTTTGCCTATGAAAGTCAAGCCCCTAGGCATTGTTTGTTTCTGAAATTTGGAAAATAAGTTTTTTCTAAGGCCCACTTTGTGTATTTAGATCCTTGGAAAGAAAGTGATGTATAAGTATTAGTCCCTGTATGTTAGTTTAACACAGGTTTATTTTCTTTACAAAACCTGCCTCACTTCTGGTTTTGTGTGTTCTCAGGACCTCGTAGACAAAGCTGATGCCTTTCCTCAAGTCCTACAAAATGCTGTAGAATGGATGAGACAGAAAGAACTGGGGACTAAATATAGCTATTCCATACTGACTGATGGGTATGACTTAGAAAGGATGTGCATTTTATCTTGTAATATTTAAATGAACTTTAAAACTGCAAAACATTTTAAATTAACCTATTAACCCTAAGAACAGGCATATCCAAAATGAGACCACAAAAAAGGTCAAACCATGTTATTTTCTTGCTTTGTTACAGTTGGGAGATTAAAATTGAATCCACTAGGTGGCACTGCTTCTCTTCAGCATTCTATAATGGGTTTATATGGGCCCAAATGAAAGTTAGCAAACATTGATTGATTGATCAGTTTGCCATCCTTCCCAAAAAGGTTCATGGTGACTTACAATAAAAGACAAACAAACAAAACAAACCCTCCACAAACTAAACAAATTACAGAAGCAAAATAAAATATTAAGATAGTAAAACAGAACTGTACCCTTTCTGTCCCCAAACCTCACAATCAAGCAATCTTGCCCACCCTTACCCCTTATGCTCTTCTGCCTCTGACGAAAGAGAGTGCACCTGTGCTCAACCAAACCTTACTTTCCAACCCTGGTTCACCACAAAAGAACCCATATTTCTCCATATTCCCTCTCAATCCTACCCACTCCAGTCCCCTCATGCTTAGGGCAGTTCCCCCAACCCCCATCCCTTACTGTCTTTCCCAAGCCTGTATCTTTCTCTCATGTGGGGGTTGCGGCTGTTCCTAAAACCTACTCATCCTCTTCCCCTTGAAGGAAATGCAGTTAAAATAAATTTCAGTTAAAAAATTAGAACAAACAATGCAATAGTCCCCCCACCTTTCCCCACACACCCTTTCATTGTTTCCATGCAGTGTCAGTGGTTATATGCCTCTCTGATTTTTGATTTAGCATTGCTTTTTCTTAAATGAAATGAATAAATGGAAAAAAAAACACGGCATGGACATTTTTATGGTTGTATTCAGAGTCAAGAAAACTTGAAAACTTAGTTTGCAACACCAGTCTAACACTAGTTTGCATAGTCAAATTTTATATATTTTCCAGTTTCTACTACTGTTAATGTGTGTGGCATATTTAAGCAGAAACAAGTAATACAAAGTGCTCAAAAGTGCTTGAGAAGAAAGATGAGAGGAAGAGTGGCTAGACCTTTGGATTTGGCCTTGGGACATGCACATTCAGTTCATGGCCTAGCCAGAATGTTTTGTCTGACTTTTGGACCAGTCACTTAACTGACTTTGCCTCTTGGAATCCTTTTTCTAAAATAGGCATGGTTCTGCTTTCTTCTCAGGGGTGTTATGATCACAAAATCCATTAATAAATGTGATGTGCTTAGATGGTCTTGAGTACCTAGATAATTGTGCATGGGCAATATAATATTGTTCCCGGAATTGTAATTTTTCACTTTATAGACTCTTACCGTAGGGCCAAAAGGTACAATTATAAGCTTGTTTCTCCTCCATACTGTACATCAGTTAATTGCCCTGGTCAATTTCCATTTTTTACTAACTGAAATATTAATGTGTAAATGTCTTTGCATTGCTTTTTGTTTTAAATGAGAGAGAATTAAGCAGCACAGGAAATTTTAACTGTTAATCTTTGTGTGACCCCAGTTATATTTCAGAATTATTTTATTGAAGTGAATGGTGTCCGAAAAGACAGCTCACTTTTGTTCTTTTGTTTGTCTGGATTAAAACTTCTGCTAGGCTGGGTTAACAAGACAGCAGTATATAATTCTGGTTATTATCTGTACCAGAAGGAAAGTGATTTTTATTATTTCTGGTTTGGGGGTGGTAACATTTCATATGTTAAATGAAAGCAGAGAATTCAAGAATGCAGAGATCCCTTTTGGCATCTGCAAAAATTTCCCTGCCTATGTACTACTCTTCCCCTCACAAAACCTCCCCACCAACAACCTGTGATTAAGTAGGATATTACCTTCCTTTTAAAAGTAAACTGTGCTGGGATCACTCCCTCTCCCAACCCGGTCAGCCCTGCATGTCAACTGGAAAGAACGTGCAGTGATGTCACAAAGGGACTGGATTTAGTTTTTCTGTAATGTCTTACTGTGTGCAGATAAGTGTCTGGCTCAGCTATGATTTTTTTCTAGTTATTTTTTTTTTAATATTTATGTCCAAACCAAGAAAATATACTCATCTTCACTGAAGACTGTTCATGCCAAAACTAAAGCTCCAAGTATTTATTGTAGCCATTAAAAGTAATATTTTGTTAGCCATTTCTACCATGTTCATCATGTAAAGAACATGTTTTATCTGACCCACCACTTCCAGATGGGTGCAGTTTACTCCAAAAAATTCCATCTTTAGGCTGAAGTAAAAATTTCAGGGTACAAGGTGAATGGCTTGGAAATTATTAAGTGTATGAAGACAGGAATAGAAACATAATGAACTCTTTTTTTTTAAGGGCACACCTACATTGCCTCCAGCTGCTCAGGGAGTTCTGTGGAGAAACCATACTGTCCACACACTCCAGCTCAGCACATACAAAAGCAGAGAGCCTGAAGTACCATTACTGCCTGAGGGTGTACCTGAGCATATATCTAGAAGCATTTGCAAAACAATCTGACTGCAGGGGTCAGTGAACTTACCCACTGCTTAAGTATAAAGTTTGGGGCTTCACAAAGCCATTTGCAACATGCTCAGGTAGAGCCAGTGTGGGATGAGCTGCATTGTGTGCTACTGCCTGGATACTAGCCTAGAACCTGGGAGCCCTGGTTCCAGTTTGGGCTTTGTTAATGACTAGCTGCATGTCCTTGGGAAGTCCCTTCCCTTTGGTCCCATCTCTTTGGAGCATGAGGTCTTGGGGGCAGGGGCTGACTCTCACGCTGTGGCTAATTTCTGGCATTTGGTGTGTGATGATGAGTGGAAGTAAAACGGGCAGGACATGCTACTACCCTCAGGCACATAAGAGCATAAGAAGTGCCATAGTGGGTCAGACCATTGGTCCACTTAGCCCAGTATTGTGGCTTTGACAGTGGCAGCAGTGGATGCTTTAAAGGGTAGAACTGGGTATATCTAGTATGATCTATGTCCTGTTTGTTACCCTCCCAGGCAGCCACCATCATTGGTTTAGAGAGGCCACTGTTGGTTTAGAGATGCATGATATAATGACATATATATTTACCACAGTCCTTTACATCTAATAATATTAAAGAGTTTAAGATACATTACACAGTACAGACTTTAGAAATAAAAATCACTTTGGTCATCAATGAAACGTGGTTGCTTTTAGTATGAAAGTCAGTGCCAGTTCTTAAACGGTTCAGAACAGTGGATATTGTTGCACAAATTAAATCTAAAGTGTGCATTACAAAGGCAGGATACAAGTTTTCGAATTTGAACTTAGCTGCTAAACCTGAGTCAATACCCCTATTCTTGGTTTGGGGAAAAAAAGAGATCTTGAACTTTTAAGTGCGATTGATTTCAGAATGAAGTGATAGGAATGCCTGCTGCCATGTCTTTACTAACCTTTTAGACGAGGGCCTAAAAGTAAAAACATAGGGAAGTGAGGGTGGGCTACTTTTTTCTATAGCATGAGGATTGGTCCTGTTCCTGGCACTCTGGGAGTGTATAACCAATGATTTTTGTGCATTGCCAGTCATCTCTGGGATTTGGGGGTTTTTGTCTTTTTTTTTTTTTTTTTTTTTTAAAACCTACGGTATGAGGTAGGGTGCTTTCAGTTTTGTAATTTGCTCTGTGGTTGTGGTTTGCAGTGGATGGAGTTGGATAATTTTTAGGACTCTGGATAAATGTTTGCTTGAGAACACAGGGGATTGATGACCTAAGAGGTCCCTTCCAGTCCCATGTTTCTAATACCTAGAATTAATTGCATCAAGTAGCTCAACTTCACTGCTCTCTTCCTGACCTCGAAAAGATACCTTACTCACATATACCACAGAAGAATCTGTTATAGAGTAGGGACTTAAATCAGGGAACCACATGAGTATCCTGGCCACTACTGTTTTAAGGCATGAATGTGTGCAGTGTTTCTGGTTTTGACCAGAAAGTCCATCATGGGCTTGAGATACTTTCTTGATTAAATTTTTATTGTAACTGATGCTTTCTTCTCTGCTGAATGATATTTGAAAAAATCCTGACCAGTTGTAATTAGGTGTTACGCCAAATTGGTCCTTTCTGCCAGTACCCAGAGGAAAGATGCATAGTCATGTACTACATGTTCTGTGTTTAGTCTATTGTGAATAATTTTTACTGTGCTATTACTTAAGATTCCTTGATAAAGTTTTGTTTCCATTTTTCTTTAAAGATGTTGGGATATGAGTAAATTCCTGAATATCCAGTGTCGTATTAGCCATATCAAATATCCCTCTTTTGCCAAAAAATGGATCAATATTCGCAAATCATACGGCAACTTCTACAAGGTTTGTATGGAGGTTGTTAATTTTTCTGGGAAAATTGAGTCTAAATAAAAGTAATATATAAGAGGCTTGCACAAAGTCTTATTATATTATGCCATGACCTTCCAATTTGTATTGTTTAATTAACTTTTGAACATGCTCAGTGTCCTGAAATCCCATTTAATTCTTGAAAATTGTTCTACTTATTTTGGTGCTTAAACAGATTTAAGAGCTTAACTTCTAGTCTCCTACTTAAAAATCTCTGAAAATATTTTCACGGTTCCAATTTTAAGTAATTGTTTATAGTACTGATGCTCCTAGATTTGTGTGCACTAGAACTAGTTCATCCAGATAGGCTGTCTAGATTTAGTAATGCTGTTGCAATTATTGCTTTACATCTTCAACACTACACTAAAGAGCTAATTCTCACAATTCTCATGTTGTAGATAAGTATCCTTATTTATCTTAAGACTGAGGATCATGGGGAAAATGGGGAGAAAGAGAGAGCTGCACAAGTCACTCTGAGCTAGAATTAAAATTGGGAGTACCAAACTCAGACATTGGATCTTAGTATTGTTTTTGTGTTCTGATGAGCCTGCTGTAAGTTCTGCTGAGTTTAGATTCTAGCTCAGGGGCAGGCAATTATTTTGGGTGGAGGGCCGCTTACTGAGTTTTGGCAAGCCATCAAGGGCTGCATGACAGGCAGCCAGGGACAGAGAAATATTAATTTTCTAAATGTTTAGGGGTCTTGCGGGCCAGATAGGATGGCCTGGTGGGCCGCATTTGCCCACCCCTGGTCTAGCTGTTGCAGTCTAAGTAGAGCTTGAATCGTCATCTCATACATCTGTATGTATATCTTTAAGGATTCCTTCATATTCAACTCAGCTACTGGAATCTAGGAGAAGGACTTTTCAGATGTCATTTTGACCCTAGTGGAAGCTTCTATACTCAGATGCTCACTGTTGCCAACATTGGCAGAGTTTAAACAAGTGTTGTTAATGGTAGATACACTTAGATAATATATGTTTTAATAGGGCTATTCTGAAGCCTGATTGTTTGCAAAGTGCTTTGATACGTGGGCCAAGGTGAATGGAAGTGTCAAGCAGCATTAAACAAACTGTTATTAGAATTTATGTAGAGTAAGACAGAGTTTTTCCTATTCAAATGTTTTAAATCAGATTTCATAGTATGGTTCACTTCCTTTATCAGGTTCCCAGAAACCAGACCAAGCTGACAATCATGCTTGAAAAGCTGGGAATGAGCTATGATGGGCGACCTCACAGTGGACTTGATGACTCTAAGAACATTGCACGGATAGCTATACGAATGCTTCAGGATGGATGTGAGCTGCGTGCGAATGAGAGAATGCATGGTGGGCAGCTAATGACTGTATCCTCCTCTGCTCCAGTAGAAGGAGCCCCTGCTCCACAGATGCCCCATCTTAGAAACTAGCAGTGAAAGAGTGCTACAAAATGAATGAACCACTGTTGAAGACTTAGACTGCAAAGACAGCTGATTAAATGACCATTTTGATAAAACAGATCTTCAGAGCAAAATATGTGAGCACCTTAAACAGCTTTCTTTGTTAAAATAAAGGGGATGTGAACTCTTTGTTCTTTAACATTTGTGTATATGATTTTTGATACTGATGGTGTTTTAACAAAAAAATTATCTGGTGTCTTTTTTAAAGGTAAGGTTGATTACCATATATAAGATCCAAGCAGGGTTTTAAGATTTTGTTTATGAAGAATAATTCAAACTAAAATACCAGATTTGTTTACCCGTTGTACTCTTCTTTCCCCAGCCCACACGCTGTATTGTAACAGCGTTTAATATATTGTCCAACATTTGCATATATATAGGCTACTGACAGAAGAACTATACAGAATGTTGACCAGATTGGTATCATCTACCTTGCCAGTTGATAGAGGCAGATAACCTCCTCTGTTCATCTAGACAAAATGGAGGCATTATTCATGGTTTTAATTGTTTTAAAATCTTGAGGGAAAAGTCTGGAGAGGAGGGACAGGTGTGTGTTAAAAATGTGTGTGTAAGTTTCCACCTCAAGTAATTTTGAGTGGCCTTGGTGAAGAGCTAAGTATTAAGTAAAAATAAAACTTTTATTCGTATAGTTACAGAATTCCTGGGGGGAGAGGGGTGGGGGCATTGTTACTTACTTGGGTTTTTTTACAGGTAGGCTTTTCAGTCATTGGGATTTTTTGTACTTCCAGGTACTGGTCTACCTATTTCTGCTCTATTCATTCCAGAATAAAATTAAGTACAGTACAGCAGTTTAATCTCTTTTAGAAACCTGGAATTCAATGAGTGTGAGTGAATTAAAACGCATGCAATATTGAAATTAATATGAAATATGGCTTAGTATGCTTTTTTCTGTCATCTGGATATTCTGTAAAAAAAAAAAAAAAAAGTTAAGGCCAAAGATACTTACAACTACTTGTATACAGCTATGCCAAACAGTTGTAGAAAATGTGAACTTTTATGTCAAAATCTGCTTTTGGAGTTTGAACTAATTTGTTTACAAGCTGGGCCTTCCTAATAAATACTTTTTTTTTTTTTTTTTTTTTTTAACCTGACACACAAATGGTTAGTGTTTTAATTAGGCCTAGGTCTAATTCAGTTTAGTACAGTACGTGCTTTGACTGAGAGCATTACTTATATTGATTCTAAATTAGTGATTTGTTTTTAAAACTAAGACAGTAAATCTTTGTCATTCCAGAGTAAAAAAAAAAAAAAAAGTTAGTTTGCCTTCCACAAGGTAAAAGTTGTTTTTTATGAACGTCCTGTATACAGAATCAGTTCACCCTAATCAAGGATTGCAGAAAACAAACTGATTGTCTCTAGCTCAATTTGTAATCAGCTTTTCTGTTTTAAAAAATTACCATTATCTAGGGTTTTTTTCACTTTTTACTAAACACTTCAAACTAAGTATATTAAACCTAAAAATAAATCATTCTTCTGTTTTTAAATTGCATAATAGAGATAGGAATCATCAGATAACAAGCTTCCCCCCCGCCCCTTTCAGTGTATTGGAAAACTTTTTTGAGGATGCTGTATCAAAACAGTGGACCTTTTTACCTTTTTTGCTATTCCTATATATGAAGCTTTTTTATTTTAACACTTTAAATATATCAGTTTACAACTAATAAAGTTACTCCTTATTAGGGATCTACCGAATTTACAGCAGAAGTAGTGTGTGTGGTGGCTCCTTTAATCTTGCATGTTGCCGTGCCTCTCCCTCCCTCCCCACCCCTGCTGCTGATTAGCGGAGGGCCCCACTGCTTCCTCCTGATCAGCAGGGAAGCTAAAACAATGGGGTTTTAAATGTGCTGTTTTTGCCTCCCTGCCAATCAGCAGTAAACAGCAGGACCATCTGGGGCCCCTCAGCCAATCAGTAGCAAGAGGCAAAAATGGCACCATAATTAAAACCACAGTTTTTGCTCCTCACTGATCAGGAGCAAGCTGCAAGCAGGGCCCCTCCACCAATCAGTGGGGGTTGGGGAGGGTGTAGGGGAACCTGCAAGATTAAAAGAACCACAGCGCACCCCACTTCCACAGTGAATTTGGTAGGTCCCGACTCATATAAAAGTTCAGTGCTAGTTGAACCCATTCCACAGTTGAACCCAGTGCTAGTTGAACCCATTCCACATGATCAACACTACATGGTCAGTCACCCTTTTGTGCTGCTTTGTTTTCCCTTTATTATCCCAAGTATCTGTTCTTCTGGAAACACTTGGGAACACCTGATTAATAACATCTACTGCATCATTGTGGTATAGGTTTTTATGATTGTCTCAGTAAACATTTGTGTCAGTCAGTGCTATCTCCCTAAATTTAGTTAAAATTCCTTTTGTTCACATATTTATTATGAGGCCAATGGTCCAGTGAGGGCTTGATCTAGTTATAGTTCAAGTTTAATAAAAATGAAGGACATGGCAAGTTGGCATCCCTTATTTTAAACCCAGAGCTGACATTTTCAGTAAAGATATTCAGAAGTTAGTTTGCAAATGTATTAATGTTTTTGACTAGATTCCACTCTAGTGTGTATCTGAAGTAACTTTTTCTATTCAATAGATTACTGAAAGAAGAGGCGGCATTCCAGATGTATTTTGGTGTAGGAGATTCTTCCCCATGACCTATGGCTTTATAGAATTATGTTGCTGCTTGCCTTGTGTAAGGCCATTATAGCTATATTAGGCAGAACTTAATTTCACTGTTACCGGTCCCTGCTGGCTATCGGCCTGGCCGTTATAGATGCTGCTCATCTCAAGAGCCTGGAGAGGTATCACCAACGATGCTTCTGGAAAATTCTCTGCATCAAGTGGAAAGATAGAAGTCAATGTTACTAGTATTGAGTCAGTGATACTCGAGCACTAGCTTTGCTAGACCAGGTATTGTGTGTAGATGGCCTGATTTGTCTCCCAAAACAAGTGCTCTGCTCCCAGATTAGTTAGAGCCAGAGATCTCATGGTGGCCAGAAGAAACATTACAAAGACACATTGAAGGCATACCTTAAGAAAATAGATGCTGCTAAACAATTCCAATGGCATTACAACCTCAACCAAGCAGCAGCCCACTTTGAATTAAAGTGCCTTGCCCTTCAAGTGGAGCAGAGAATGGAGGAAGGAAAAGGAGAGAAATATGAGCCTATGACCTACTCTCCTGTGGAAAGATCCACAATTTCTCTGGACAGATCTGTGGCTCAAGGATTGGACTCTGAAGTGTCAAGACCCATCAGTGAGCCATGGTAGAGGTCATACTTGAATCGAGGGATTGCAGCTGGTGACGTAGAAGTGCCCTATGGAAAGACAGTCACTCATTTTACACAACCCCCTGGTCAAGGGTTACTGCTCATTTCCCAGGCTAATCCCAGGTGCCTTGGGCACTTTGTCTGCAGTAGCATCTGCCTGGCTTCTGCCCCTTTAAGTGCCTGGTTTCTGGTTCTTTGCCACTAAGGTCACCTATACATGTGCCCAATACCTGCTCAACACGTTCCAGTTAGAATGTGTTGGAGCTGATTCAATTAATCCAGTCTGCTGGAGCATTGTATTTGGAACACTCCAGCAGCCTCGTCAGCATTCCCACGTTTCAAAATGGCAGCGGGGGCGCTTTAGCTAAAGATTGTTGAGTGATCTTCAAAGTACCCCCACCACTAGGGGTGCACCAATAGAGATTTTTGGGGGCTGATACCAATCTAATTTCCAATACGCAACTCTTCAACTTGAAGAACTGCATCCAACTGGTAAGTCTGGTGTGGAAGGGGAGGAAAGGGGTGTGTGTGTGGGGGGCAGATCAAGGTACTTGCAGTGAGGGAAGGGGCTGGGGCTGGGGTAGGTGCTAACCAGCTGGGGCAAGGGGGGTGAGAAGGTTGGGGGGTGGCTCCTGCTGCTGTGTGTGGCTCGCCCAGTGCTTATCTGGTGGCTCCCGCTGCTGCTGTCGCTGCTCGTCCGGGAGGGCATGGGGTGGCGGCGTGTGCCCCTGGATCTGCCTGGTCAGGAAGAGCCTGGCCCCACTCTGCGTTGATCTAGGGGCATGCCCCCCCATGCCCTCCTGGCTGAGTGGCAGGAGCCGACGAGCACTAATGAGCCACACAGTGGCAGGAGCTGTAGCCTCCTCCCTTCCCGCGCGCCTCCCCCCAGTGAGCCGTGCCTCCATCCCATGCTGGCCCTGGCTGGACAGCCCCTGCCCCTACCCCAGCCCCAACCCCACACCCTCCCTCACTGTAGACCCCTTCCCCTCCTGTTCCACCACACTAGACTTACCAGCTGCACTCAGCGGTCTACACTGCCTGCTCTGCTCCTCACTGCTTACATGCTGCGCTGCAGCTGCATGCACGCATGGTCATTCATTGGACACATTGGGCCGATTTCTGATACAGAAAATTTTCTTTGTATTGGTGCTGATCCGATATCTGACCGATTGTATACCCACCACCATTTTGAAGCGTGGGATGCTGAATACACAAAGATGCTGTGGGCATTTGAGTGGCTCCTGAGAGCTGCCCTAATTAAAATGCTTTTCCACCCCCACCCTGGAGCACATCTAAAGATGCCCTGAGTTCCCTCAGGCTCCTCTGCTCTGCCACTTCCTGCAAGCTCTGCACAGAGCTGCATCTGCTTGCAGCACCTACCTTCCCCAGCCTTCATGGATTTTGCTCCTTTCGGCTTTCTGTTTTGCATGCAGCTTTCCACATGGTCTCTGCTCCCAGCTCCCTTGCTTCCCATTCTCTGTGGCCTTTCCAGAGAGAGGCTGGCCCTTCACTAGGAGTTTCCCACCTTATCTCTCCATTGCAGTTAGGAGGGGACTGGGTCTGCTCTTCCCTTGGAGGTGCAGAGGTCATTGGGGATAGATTACTAAGAATATGTTAGTTTTCTGCTTAACAGATCTGTCACAAAATACTGGTTGTATGAGCTAGCGCAGAATGCAAGGAGTAACCAATATTAGACATGCTCCAAGTGCTTTTTCTCCTTGTTCAGCAACCCTCATTCCCGTTCCCCAGGCTATATCTTGCTTAAGTAAGCACAATTCAACCAAAACCAAAGTGTGGGGGAGAGCAAAGAACCAAGCTTTTTCCTTTGCCTTTCTGCAAAGGGCTTTAGAGGTCAGACAGACAGGAGGCTTGTTTAGAAGTCATGATGTCATTTTGACACTGGTCGGACTTGTCTGGGGAGGCTTAGCTGTCTGGACAGTGTGTCACTGCTCAGTGCAGAGTTGGCATATTTCCTGCCTGCTACTGAAGTGTGAGAGCTCTCTCCCTTGAGCTGGGGAACAAGATTTGCTGTCCATCCCAGCAGACCCCACTTCAAGTTTCAGGGTTCCCAAGGGGAACTGCACTTGTATTTCACATTTCAAAGGGTAACTCATATCTGAGGGGAGCTGCTGAAATCCAGAGTACCCCCAGTGCTGCTGAAAGCAGGGCCACAGGTGGTGTTTTCTGCTTGGTGTGAGAAGACCTTACAGCAGTGTGGTAGTGTGGACCTGGTGCCATGGTTCCCAGTCCGCCTTCACTCTGTGATGGATGGAAGGGGCATAATGGGAAAGGGGTGCAACTGGGTGTTTCCCCTGTGTGCTGCTGGTTAATACAGGCTGGGGTGGGGCACCAGCCTGCTTCCCCGTCCCTCACTTCTGAGCTGTGCTATGTAGCCCTCATCAACTGAGAACCTAGACATGAACCTCCCCCTTTTGTTGCTGAGTGAGGAAGGGTCTGCTTGAGGCAGGAGGTCCACGGTGCCCCCACAGAGTCTGAAGGTGCCAAGTACCCATGCTTTCGGTAACCCAAGACTCACCTCCTGGTGTAATGGGGAGGGCACTGAGCCAACGGGCAGTTAATGCTTACCTGTTATGAAAGGCACTCTCATGAGCCATAGTGCTATGGCATTCATGTGCGCTGGTGTTAACACCTTATAAATATCCAGGCCAGTATGTCATGGTTCTTCTGCATTCAATAGGTGTCCACTCTTGCCCATCCAGCTTTCATCTCACTAAGCATT